GAAAAATATTAACAAGTTAAAAACAACATGCCTGTATAAAACCATTGTATATTGATCAATCAAAAAACAAACAAATACAGCCCAATGGTATCAAAATCAATATTGATAATGTTCCAAGCTCTGGAGTAAGTCAGATTGTGTGGTTTTACATACATTTTCTTTTTAAAACCCTTTTATAGTAATATTCTATGAAATTTTATGTCACAGTCTTAGACTACTGAAATATTGTAATTTGTTATGGATAATTTCACACACTTCTCGGGATGAAGTCTGATAGCTAGTCTCAATACCCTTCAACACCTCCTTCCGAACCTCAGTAGCCTCGGGAAAATCACTGTCCTCTGACTCAGCTATACTCAAACTGCTAAAGTCTACTGATAATAGCACAGGGTCAAGGTCACGCATGGCTACATGCATATCCTTGGCACAAGAGTCAAAACTAGCAACAAGCTTTGTAAAATTAGAGAAGACGGCAGGAAGTGGTGGTGGAGTCTCAGCTTTCTTCTTCCGACATCTCTTGTTCCAGGAAGTTTTCAGTGGTTTTAAGATTTTGTGGCAGACCCCTGTTAAGATGGCTGAGTGGGACAGAGTTTCCACCAAAAGAGAGAGGTTTTCAGCTAAAGCAGCATTAATGGATTTCTTCCCATCTATTTCTGTAAATAGGGTACCTCTGTATTTGGTTAAAAGGCTTGTGAGAATTTCTGGAACTTTTTGGGAAGGTGATTCTTGTTTTTCATTTTCTGAGTGCTCTAAATCCTCTGACTGCAATTTGAACACATGTAAAATATACTCAATCATTGAACACACAACTTGGTAATGTCCATCTGCAAGATATTTGGATATCCGTGTTGGACTTGGGCCTTGTAGAGAGTATTTGTAGACTGTGCTGAATTCCTTTTCATATTCCTTGGCATGCTCACACAGCTGTTTTCCAAGTGATTCTAGAATTTCATTTGCAGCCTTTTTCTCTGGACCTACTCCATTGTTCATGTTTTTTGTGTTGGATCCCACTTGCTGACCAAGGCTTACCGCACAAGCAATAATCCTTAAAGTCAAACTTCTAATTCTTAGCCAGGCTTTTTCTTCATTAAAGGAGAAATCAGAGGCTGCTTTTGAGTTATAACATTCTTTTTCCCATGCTTCCATGATTCGTAGATCACGATTATCACAGAGTTTTTCAAAATCCGCAGCAGGTGCTCCTTCTTCAGACGGATCGATCTCCATGTAGGTCACCATCTGCTCCGCACTCTGATGACTGGACGTCTCCAGAATAAGGTCCAGAAGCATACTTTCCACTTTTGCACAAGCATACTGTAGGGAATTCTGTAATTTGTCCCTGAATCTCACAAACTCAAAGATTTTATTGAACGAGCCGTATTTATATGCTGCAATCAAATACTCTGCAGTTTCTTTGTGATTCACAGCAAAGAATTTGAGCATGCTTCCAAAGTTTGCACCAGCAGCTGCAAAATGTCCTAGCCTGATCATGTGATTGGAAATGAGATATCCAAGTGTGTCATTCATAATGTGTTTAACCTCTAGACTCTCATACAGTTGCTGACAAGGACCATAAGCACCCAGTTGGGAAAACAAGTGAATGAGCAGCACCTTGAACTGAAAATTGGCTGGGCAGTTTTTGGAGCCTCTCTGAAGCTGGACAATGGCTTCTATAAGGTAATGCTGATCTTTTGTTTCCCCCCATACTTCAACTAAAAGGTAAGCTGCCATCAGCAAAAAATTGTCAGAAAACTGAATGTCTGTGATAAGGAGATCTTTGCCAAACTCCAAGCCATGGTGATACCTCTGTATACATTCTTTGGATAAAGCAAGTTTTTCTGATGAGGTTTTGGTGTCAAGGATTCCAAGATACCTTGCCAATTGCAAAATGGTCAAGTGACGTTGCATAACTTTCATGTCCGATGCGAACACAATGCTGCCATCAGAATTATGTAGATCTAGGGATTTTGTGAATAAGTCAATCATTTCCACTTGTTGTGGTTTTGTTATTAAATCAGTAAACAGTTTCATATCATCATAACAACAGCTTTTGTCTCCAAATGTCTTAAAGTATTCCTGTAAAAGCTCCAGGGGTGATCCTGTAGGCTCAAGAGAAAGTTCTTTGTTTTCTCCAAGCATCTTGATCAGTTCTAGCTGTGCTAGGAATGGGCCCCGCAATGGCCTCTCTCCTGAACAAGATGTAATGGTCTGACTAATGAATGCAGATGTCATGTCAATGCTGTGATCAGTTTCACAGTCTTTAGCATCTTCTGGTGGTGTCCATTTTGATTGCACAATTTTCAAACAAGAAGAAAGATAGTCTTTCCAATACTGCCAATGATCTGGATTTTCTTTCAACAGAAACTTGAATTTTGCATTTGCATCAGGCCATTTATTCAATTCTGAAAACATTTCTGCAGCTTTCTTTTCCTTAAAGAAGGTTTCACTTGTTAGTTTCTCCCCTAAAGGCCCTGTTACTACTTCATACGCTTCCTCCCACTTCCCTAGCAGATTTAGAATAATCAAGTACAGCTGTACTTCTGCCTCTGCGTTAATCTTATTCTCGTCTATGTACTTCTTGATCATCCTCTCTGCCAGTGGAAGAAACATTCCCTTCGCTAGCTTTTCGTTATCGCTTGTCTGACTCTGCATGACAATACTCATCACCGCCCAGAAGTAGTAAGGGTTCTTGTTTGGCTGAAGCCGATGGAGCAACATAGCAGTCTGCTGCTGCTTTTTGTAATCACCCAGGCGGACGTAAGCCATAAACAGAGCTGATAGAATATCTTCATTTTCTGGGCAATTCTTCCGGGCATTCTCATACAGGTCTGCGATGGCCTCCAGTCTATAGAGCTCTCTGTAACATATGGCCATTGCCTACAAAATAAAAATCATTATAAATTGTTGCATGATAACCAAAGAAGATTTTATTTGTTACCATTCATAAAAATTAACCCAAGGTTTTTAACTTCATCCTTTGATAAGGCCAAAAAAAATAATAGTCTTGTTTCCTGCTACCAGCCTGAAAAAAATAGGGTAGGTAGGTAGGAAAATTATTTTATTTCATTTTTTTATTTTATTTTTTCCGACAGAATTTTTTGGGTATGAATTAATACAAGATCAAATTAAACATGCCACAGGTCAATATTGTCTTTTAAAATTAAATTTCATGTCTTTTTATGCACAACTCAAGTGGTATTTTATGAAAGTCCTATTTAAAACAAGAATTTCATGAAATGCTTGTTTTGTGTTAACATGGAAATCGATTACGGTGACAGAACAATGAAATTCTGGAAAATTTTTTCTTCCAAAACTAAAAAAAAACTTTAGGGCCGGGTGCAAAAAAATAGGGTAGGTCGGGTAGCAGGAAACAAGACTATTATTTTTTTTGGCCTAACAAACTTGAGCACTTCATTATCATGATTATGAGGAATTAATCATATTTTCAAGGAAATGGTTTTCTATAACCAAAACTTAAAAACAATATATAAAATCTACAATAGACCTATAAAAATGACTATCCATGACACAATGTAATTCTCTCCTATTAGCTGTACAGCTGAACAGACTGGTGTGATATTATTGTATAGAGTGAACATATCATAAAGATCAGGGTAACATATAAATGGGTGTGGCAAGTTTTAAATTAGATTGAATAACATGACAGAAGTTTGCAAGCTTCCTGTTAAAATCACCCAAAGCACTTGCTGTCTAGGTTCAACAATATTTTTGGTAATTTTTTTTTAAATAACTTAAATTGATATGTGTTAATATCGATCATATCTTAAACCTCGCGACATAACCAGTCTCAACCAATGCCAATTTCTTTTGAATTACATCATGAATTATACTAGAATTTATTCGGGCTGATAGAATTTGCTTTTGAATGACACATAAGTCATCAGTCCAAATGACTGATAGAAATATTTGGTTTTTGGAAACTAAGCATTTTGGCATTGGGAATGGGACCTTATTTCAGCCCCCTACAGTCCCGTAACAAAAACCTGAATTGTCAAGATAAACAGATCAATATTGATTATGATGCACACTGATTATGAGGAAGTTTTACTGATAAATAAAAATGCATTGAAACATGAAAATAATACAATAAAGTCATCATGGATTTCGGAAAAGGGAGGAGCGCCCTAAGAGGGAAGTGGGCGGCAGTAGGCGGACTGCCCTGTGGAATAATCAAGATGGAATGCTACCGAAAGCAAAAATGACTGCAGTTCTCCTTAAGGTCGTACTCCATATAATTTGGAGTTAAGATACCTTGTGTTTTATATTATGGAGTAATTTTATTTTAATTTACAGAAACAAGTGCCCCAGACTTGTTCTCAACTTTTTATAAAACTCATACCATTTTAATTGTCATAAAATATATTCGAACATTGTGAATACCGTTACAGGACAATAACCTGCAGTAAAACTTTTTTTTTAACTTTCTTATTTTGTGTTAAATACGAATTATCTGCCCTTTGAGATCAGACTAGCATTTCAATCAGTGTACTACTCATACGAGCAATTTAATTTTGTAGTTTTCTTATTCACATCAGAGACAGAATAAAAACAGCGCATGCCTGTAGGGTAGCTTCGTCTGTAGGGTGTTGAGAATGAATTTCGTCTAGAATCACGGTACTCTCATCGTGACGACCAAGTCTCAACAAGGCAAGTGCTTTCAAAACTTTTGCACATTGGAAGTATTTGTGTTTCTTTAGAGCTTTTTCTGCTTCCTGTATGGCTTTCTTGTTATTTCCGTTATCCAGACAATCATAAATTGGACGAAGACGCCTTTCATTGACATCCACATGGCTACCGGATGCCATTTTTGGAAATGCAAACGTGTTTTAGACATCGATTTTTAGGAGTATTCGGATGTCTGTGTTCTAAAGCGTTCATACGACGCCGGTTTTCCGGAGTTTTCAATCTTGTTTCAAATGATTTGTCAATTAGGGTCAAACATCAGTTTCCAGTTTCATATCCATGAAGAAGAAAGTTACTGTAACTGTTTTTGTAAACATTACGTCAGAAAAGGAAAAAGAGGATCTTTCATGCACTGACATAAATGTAAGTGATTTATATCTGTCAGTGAGGACGGGGCAATCTTTAGCCGATCATGAAGCATTTCTGTATATGTAATGTATAGGACAAGTTGACAACATTAACTTTTATATCTGTCAGGTCCGGTACAATCACTACAATTAGCTACGTAGCTTAAATTACCTACATAGCTTTATTTAGCTACTCGAAGTAGCTTTAATTAGCTACTCAATCATACTTATTTCTTAAATGAGCATTTTTCAGCATGATTGAAAAATTGTACTTTAATGCTGTTAAAGTTTTTAACTTTAAACTGATCTGAAAACAAATCAAATCAAAGTATAAAAAGTTTTGAAGCTATATACAACAGTTTATTTGTGACAAAAAAGTTACTTAGTGAATGAAATAACAAATGTAACAGGAGATGAAAAAAATGTAATGGGCCAGACCAGGATTCAAACCTTTGCCTCCTGAATCTCCAGTCTAAGCTATCTGGCCAGTGGCCACTAGAGATTAAACCTGTCTGACCGCAGTATTCCTCCATCCTCAAAGGCCTACTCCCACCAAGATACCAACCCAGGCTTTTCCCATGCAGTTCTTTCACCTTTCACATCCAAAGCATGGCACATCACCATATATGTAACAGGAGAGGACTAGATCAGGATTCAAACCTGGGTCCCCTCCAGTTAGATGCTTTACCAACTAAGCCATCCAGGCCGATATCCGTGGACCAAACCATCACACAAAGAAGACCAGTTCCGGTTAACATGATAATTTATTGGTTAAAATTCAGCACAATGTGAAGTAATCATACTTATCAATGTCTAACTGCACACAAGGTGGTGCATAGTTACTCAAACAATAGAAATAAATCTTTTGCTTAAAATTGTTCAAAAGTAGCAATGAATGTTAAAGCTGTCTTTGCTCTTTTTAAAATTCTATTGTACAAATATTAGTAGTCACATACTTCGTCAATTTTAAATAAAAAGCCAACTTGTAAAAACTTGCATTAAAAATAGCTAAATCAAGCTACTTCAAGTAGCTAAATAGCTACATAGGTAATTTAAGCTAGATAGCTAAATGTAGTGAATGTACGGACCTTTCTGTACCTTGAAAATATTTAATATGAACTGTGAAGCCATGGCATGAGTTTAGAAACATGATACCGAGAACATTTTACCTTTTATTTCATTCTAAACTATTAGTCATGTTATGTTGTTGTGCACCACAGTGACACATTTAACCAAGTTAAACTTGACAATTGAAAAAAAATACTTATTGTACATGTATGTCATTTTCCTAGTATCAGTTTTTATGTATAGGGCTGAGGTGTTTTGTTAGTACATGTACTAGTACAATCATTTTATGATAGTTTATTGGTGAGATAGATAAGGGGTGATTCTTGATACTTTTTTTTTTTCTTTTGAAGTAAAGAGAAATGGCAGGTGTGATGGGAATGGCATTTATTCCTTATTACAATCAACTGATGACAATCCTGGAGACAAATGATGAACTAAAGAAAAGTGCGAGAGGTATCTTCAAGCAAATGGCTTGGGCAGCTGGAGGGACAGCTGTGGGTGGAGTCCTTCTAGGCCCCCCTGGCGCCATGGTTGGGGGAGTGGCAGGATCCATGATTGGTTATATTTGTTCTGATGAGTACACTGCAATGATTAAAGTGTTAGAAAATTTAAATGATGAGGAGAAACAGAAGGTTGTGAAGGCTGTACAGGAATTAGTAGGCACCTCCTCCATAGAAGCCCTCACTAGATTCATCTCACAACAAGTACAAAGAGACATGCTTTTAAAACTGCTCAGAGATTTTGTAGGTGACATTCAAAAAGGAGGATAAAATTTTATCCACTTTATGCAAATATCATGGAAGAGTCATGGTTGAATGAATTTCAGAGCAGTTATTTTTGCTGAATACCTGTTAACATTTCTGTGAATCAGACATTAAATGAAATAATATCTACAACTTTTGTATGATTCTGAATTTAATTGTAGTTCTATATGATTCTTTCATTACAGAATTTGAGTTAATCCCTCAAAGGATATGTAATAACAACATGGATATTCTTTTATTAAACTGACTTGTTTAAGACCTTTTCATTTTTTTTATATGTCCCATAATATGCTATGATTTTGAATGCACTGAAAATTGTAACATATTTATATTTTCATTTTAAGAATGACTTTTAGCTCACCTGAGCTAAAAGCGCAAGTTAGCTTTTCTGGTCACATTTTGTCCAGCATCTGTCTGTAAACTTTTCACATTTTTGACTTCTTCTGAAGAACAACTTGGTCAATTTTAAGCAAACTTGCCAAAAAGCATCCCTTTGGTGAAGGGTATTCAAGTTTGTTCAAACAAAGGGGATATAATTTCAGAATTAGTGAAAATTTAAAGGCATCTTTCAAAAATCTCAAGAACCACAGGGCCAGAAACTTATGTGAAAGCTTCATTACGTAGAGTAGATTCAAGACTTTTTCAAACTATTACCCTAGGGGGTAGGGTGTGGCCACAATGGACAAATCAAAGTATTACATAGAAATAATTCTTTAAAAATCTTACAAGAACGGCAAAGGTATGATTAGTGATATTTAAATGGAAGCATTCTCAGTAGTGTAGGTTCATGTTTGTTCAAATCACAACCCCTGGGGATAGGGTGTGGCCACAATAAGTGATTAATGTTTAACATATATAGGAAAAAATATTTAAAAATCTTTTACTCAAGAACAGCAAAGGCATGATAAGTGATATTGATATGGAAGAATCCTGAAGGTAGCATAGATTCAAGTTTGTTTAGATTATGACCCTGTGGTAGGGTGGGGGCAAAGTAGACGATCAAAGCTTTACATAGGAATGCATGTATAAAGAAAAAAATCTTTTCAATAACAGCAAAGACATTACTGTATACAGGGTTATTTTCGCCCTTTCACACCTGCGAACAATTTTGTCCCTTTCAAATTCACCTAGACACAGTTCTGTTTTAGAGATAATGCTGTTTTCTTTGAATTCAACCCATTTTAAATTTGCCCAATTGTGAGGAGGTTAAAAGGGCGAAAATAAAATGGGGGCAAAAATTTCCCTGCATACAGAATTAGCATATTAATATAGAAGCACCCTGTAGGTAGTGTAGATTCAAATTTGTTCATATCATGACCTCTGGGGGTAGGGTGGGGCCACAATGGACAATCAAAGTTTTACATAGGAATATATAGGAAAAAATCTGCTGATGAAGAACAGCAGGCAATTAGTGACTCACTCAGGTGAGCATTGTGGCCTATGGGCCTCTTGTTTGTTTGTGCTGTGATGTATAGAAAAATAATTTAATAAAATTGAAACAGATGTATTGTTAATAATTTATACTGTTTGATTTTTATCTTTAACTACTAAAATTTTAAAGTTTGTTTATGAATACACATACTTTTATATTAGTCTTTTTTATTTTCAGAAATCTTTTTGTATATTCATTTTTTTGTAATTTTTGGCAACACTCTTGAATCATTAAAGTATTTCATTTTTTTAACACTGTATTTGTTCTATTTCATAATTATATTGACTATACTATAAGTTTAACTGAGGCAGATTTTCTAACATTTACATTTTACTTGTCACTGTCTTGCCCAGACTATGTGCTCAACTATTCTTTAAACAATTCTTAAACATTCCATCGAGTTTTATCACTTTTTACAGTACACAGTAAAGTCACTTTGAGTGAACAAAGGGCACTTGACATATGGATGGTGTAACCCCCCCCCCCCCTTTCTTGAGAATTTTTTTTAGACACTATAACTTAAACAAAAATACATGAATTCATAGCTCATCATACCTATATTCTGATATCTGGTCTCATTTTCAGAATCTGTTTCTTTTTTAAGTTTTAGAGATAGCCTCTCTACGGTAAATAAAAATATTAAAGCATGTAGTGGCAGTCTGTAAAACTTACCAAAAACAGAAAATTTATCTTGTCCAACTCCTTGCCATACATGGTTCATTTGTAAGAATTTGTTCTTTCGCTAGTTTGTTTCATACAGAATATTGTTATTAGACAAGACAACTTAAATTTACTTAAAAGTAATACATGGATGGGAACATTGTTTTCAATAATTACACTGTTCTTAAACCATAGGACCTAAATTTACTTTAAGAGTAAACTAGGAACAATTAAGCTAATCCTTGCTGATAAACTGAAAACTGTGACTGTTTCGTGTTTTTTGGAAGTTAACATAAACTTCATCAAATGGCTTAACTTAAGTAACTGACAATAGACTTTCTATAGTGAAACCTCTTCTGTCTTTGGATACTATCCACAGTTAATATCAGGAGATGTTTCATAGAAGACATGGAGTCTTTGATTTTAAAGGTCATTTGAGTCAGGTGACCTATTGCTATCTCTTTTTCATCCATGATTGTTCGTCGTGTGTTGTCCGTTAACATTTGAACATTTTCTGCTTCTTCTCTGGACTGCTGAACAAATTTCGACCAATTTTGGCATGTACGTCTATAGGTAAAGGGGATTAAAATTGTGAATTTCATTGTCCCATCTGCCCCCTGGGGCCTGAGAGGTGGGGCTAAAACCATCAAAATTAATGCATTTAAAAAAAATCTTCTTTCTTCTGGAAATCAAGCCAAAAAAATGTTGGCGTAATTGTAACAAGCATTGAGCCCTCAGTCAAAATTATGAAATCCATGGCCTCAGGATCAGGGGGTTCTGGTACTAGGGTGGAGCTCTATGTATCATATTGTGAAAATACATAAATTCTTCAAAAATCTTCTCTCCCCCTGTATATTTATTACACAGACTAAGGCCAAAAAAATTAATCAATAGTTCCTCCAGCACCAGATCAAAAACTTCCGCATTGATCAAGTTTATTGACATAATGAAAAGGGAAATACAATCTAATTAAATTTCTATTTTTCCAAGTTGAAAAGGAAAATCGAGTTATTCCCCTTTTTCATAAATGCTAATAGCTAGACGTTCTTATTAGATAAACTTGTTAATTTATACGGTATTTTATGAATTAACTTTTAAACAAAAGTTTGGAATAACATTATTTAAGGTTGAATACATATCATAATTAATGTAAGAGAACAAAAAAAAAAGTAAGAATCATTTGATCTATCATTTTGTTGAATGACTGACATGAAAAAGGGTATAACACCTGCTAAAAAGAAATCTGCCTGCCTGCCGCATTGAATTTTGAAAATTTGAGATTTTTTTTAACCTAAGTACATAGATTTAATAATCAAGAGTGTCTCTTCAAAAGTTTTGAAGTGCATGGCGCCTGGGTCTGGAGTTCTGATGTTGAAGCAGGGCTCTAATGGTTATGTATGGTAAAATGCATTAATTTTAAAATCTTTCAAAAATAAATCTTTTTCTCTGCTCTTGGGTGTTCAGAATACAAACTAAGTGCATGGTTATGATGAGCAAGAGTGCTTCTTCCAGAATTGTGAAATTCATGCGCCCTGGGTCAGGTGTTCCGGAGTTAGGACTGGGCTGTATTGATCATATAAGGAAAACGCATTTATTCTTTGAGTATCTTTTTCTCTGCACCTGTATATTTAGAAGACAAATTAAGTGCATGATTATAATGTGCAAGAATGCTTTTTTTTTTTCAAAAATTTTGGAATTCATGGCGTCTGTGTCAGGGGTACTGGAGTTAGGACAGAATTTAGATTGAAAGGTCAATTATTTTTAATTCTAATTTAAAGAAATGCTTTACTTAAAACACAAGTTGCACTGTAAAGAGGGATAATGCTGTAATTAATGATTCAATTAAAATACCGCGAATATTCTCTCTCTCTCTCTCTCTCTCTCTCTCTGACCCCATTAATATCTTTTGGCGACATAATACTAGTATTCACATTTTTGCAGCGTACATCGTTGTCTACCACAATATGTACCAATATGTAGGTACATTTTGTGGCCCATTCTGCATGGAGGAAAAAATGCTCATCTCTTAGATCGGCACATATTGTCTCCAGTGTCAATACATGTATGTAGAGTTGGATGGCACTATGCGCATTGATGGTATAGGTATATATACAGGTATATATACATATTCACGCCGGCGACAATATGTACAGGGCGACAAAATGTAACCCCCCCCCCCAATAATTTCTGAAAAGATGTTCAAAGATTTTTCTTTGTAAACTTCTGTTTGATACTTTTAAATACGTTCCCTTTGGTCTTTATGTAGATGTTGAACATGATTTTTCCCATTCAGGGACTTCAGTCATGTTGTACGGTGTCGTTTTCGTCAGCAAGGGCGAAACCAAGATTTCCGGGGGGAGGGGCATTTTAAACAGTTAAATGGTTCGAAACGTGTTTGTTCGACTGATTTTGGTAGGGGGTGGAGGACATAAATGCTCGTGCAATTCTCTCTCTCTCTCTCTCTCTCTCTCTCTCTCTCTGGAATGGTTCAGGTGTTTGTCATATAGCTGTTTTAAAAATGTCTTTGAGTTTGACATTGTGGTAATGAATATGACAAGACCAGTGTCGTTAAACTTTTATGTGAAATAATCTATAAAATTTAACGAGTCATTGTTAACTGAAGCAGTTGGAGATGAACAATCTTCGTCAGACATTTCAACAAGCTTAGTCGTTTGTCTTCTGTCACAACCCATCACAGGGAAATAGGAAGAAAGAAACGCAGTGTTAATTAATGCAGTAAAACAAATTAGCTAATCTGCATATTGTACTTATCGTGTCAGGACAATATGAAGAGGAATTAATCAAATATTTATGATGTCAAGTCGCAATATACTTTACGCAACATATTAAGGATGCGCTGGACAGCTTCACAAAGTGTTTTATCGCCAGTAATTATAGACGCTTTATAATCCCGCGGGGCGGGGGAAATGGCCTAATAAAAAAACTGCTTCTTAGTTACCGGGCTACGACGTCTCCATGTTACCAGTAAAGGTAAATATCTCTCTCTCTCTCTCTCTCTCTCTCTCTCTCTAAGAATGGGATTGATTTTTTTTAAAATGATTCCTTGATTTGCATTGTGACATAAAATTTTGCTTTTCGGTGACTGTAAGACCTCAAAAGAAATATATATTTTTTGTTGTTTATCAAAATATGATGAAGCGTGTACATCCATTAATGTCAATATTGACACATTAATTTTAATAGTTCCCTTTATAACGACAACACAATAGTACCCGGGGTGTGTTATGAGATTAGCTGGACTATCTCCGGGTTGATATAAAATCAATCACAACAAAACATCGATGATGATGATTACATCACTGATAACAGACACCTGGCCGGAGGAAGCCTAGGCTATATATATATAAGTCAACATATTGTTTGTTTGGGGTATTAGATATCAGACAGACAATATTTGGCTTCTTTTTCTGCAAACAATCGTGTGATCGACACGGTCCAAATGAAAAATCATTTTCTCAGGAAAAATACAATTTTTGGGAGGAAGGTAAGGGTCTTCACTTGTTGAAAGATACGTGAAGCTTAAACTTAATTGTATGGTGACAAAACAGAGGCATATTTTCAAAAAGAAAAAAAAATCAAAAATACGTGATTTTTTTCCATTCTACTGTGTTATGTAAGTTAAATCATAGTCTATAAATTCAATCAAGCATGCTTCGCAGCTGTTCGATTGCTGAACATGGTTGAATGATTAGATCCTAACTCGCTGTTATAATAGGAATCGTGAGTCGCGTTGTATAGAAGTGATTGTTAACTGGAAATTAATCAAGAGAAAGTTACCCAAAAAAAAAAAAAAAGGAAAGGGTTTAGCAATATATTAAGGTAAGTTTTACCTGGTCGGACCCCTTGTGATTAAATAATTACTAAAATATAGCGCTGTAATAAAAAAAAAAAAAAACAGAAATGGGGAATGTGAAAGTTTTAACGACTTGAAAAAAATGTAGATCAAAGATTGCTGTCTGTAATCAGACAATTTATGTTTCCTGAAATTAAAGTTCTGGAACTCTTTTTTTTCTCAGACAATCAGTCTATAATAGACCAAACTTACTTGAACAAAATTATTGTTATTGCGTTACTCAACATATATATGATGTTTCAAAACAAAGAGAGGGCAGATAGATCAACAATTTATTATTAATTAATGAGAATCTTGGAGCTCCACCCAAGTATTAAGAGTAGATTCTCAGAATAATATCTTTTTGACATATGCTTCCTGTCTGTCGCTGCGTGACATTGGTTGGAGGAATTCATTAATTGACATTTAAGCAATGAAAATTAAGGTTCAACTAGTATTGAAATGAAGTTTATATTACCTTCAGTGTTCATACTTATATTTGTTCTAAAATTAGTATACATACTTATATACAAAAAAGACGGGAGGATTGCGTACTTTAAAATACCTGTGCTCTCGACTTCATAATAAATATAATATTATGTATATTAAATTTAAATTCTAAAATATAATTATCTTTCAAATTCTTATTGTTCTTCAGTTAGTTTCAGAAAATTCTTAACCGTTACGTTGCTTTGTTTTTACGTTATCATGAAAGACTTGAAAATACAATTTTACTATGTATGTATGTATGTACCTGGGTACACAGATTTGTCCGAATTAGCAGGGTCAGCGGGTGGGGAAACATTACGTCCGAGTGATTGATCAACTTGTAACACAGGTCAACCAAACTATTGTACGTCGTTATATAATTTATATTCTTCATTTTATATTAGTATAGACATTCAAACTATTTATATCCCCTTTAGAGCGGCGTTCTAACAAACTATTGCTATTATATTACGACGAACAAGAGAACACTATATTTAAACTCTGGGTCAAAAGGTTATGATCTATAGTGTAATGAATTCAAACAATGATCGGGTGTAACAAAGCTCAACTTTAATGCTACGTAATGTTTAGACATTGCGCAACACTATGTCCACAATGTCTGTATTGACCTTTATAAGTCAGGGGAGTTCAAGTACCCTTATCCAAATCATTAAACATGAGAATAAGTTCACAATATTATACTAATGAACCTTATTATTAGAGTTCCTACAGTTTGTCTTAACCACAGATGTAAGCGTTGAACAATCGGTGTGCTATCCCTGATTGTAAAAGGGCGGGGTGCTAGAATTCCGTGATATATTATATGTAACTTGTCAAATCGTGACTTTCAGGACAAGTGTAATATTGGTGATTGATTTTGTGTGAGAAGTCAGTGTTAAATTATATGCTTTATTCGTGGTTTTATTCAATTCCAGATGAAGTACTACCCTTCAGAGATTCCCGACTCCGGCTGGGTTAAACCCACTATCGTGTTTATGGACAATAATGACAGATACGTCAGTCAGTGGCTTCTAGACTGTGAAAAATACAGTGTTCAGAGTGTGAACAAAGAGGAAAAACCAGACTATCCCCCCGCCTCACAGTGTGGCTCCAGTGAAATTTACTGCGAAGTGGCAGACATTGCAACAGATGATCGGAAAGAAATTCAGAGGTGGTCCACTTGGCGAATCAAAGTGAACGAACAGCTGATTAATAACGTGTTGGTGGTGGACCAGCTGTATGCGGAAGTGGACAGTGACACAAAAGAGGAAGTGCCGTCCAGCGCCAATTGTTTCCAGGAAGCCTCCAAAAGCATGCGAAAATCATCAACAGACTTATCGCTGCCAGATTTCACCGTGTACGGAATACCCCGAGTCCGACTCGGAAAGTAGATGTGAATTTGGAGATTACAATGTAATAATTGTTACTTATTACAATCACAGTGCAATAATACGTGACAGTGGTTTAGTATTATATAGCAATGTTTTGTATATTTGACACAGAATACCACAATACCAATTCCAGTAGTGCTTTCAAATTTGAAAACTTAATTATTCAGTTTCCCTGAAATTTATATGCATGTATACTCCTCAACAGAATACCACAATACCAATTCCAGTAGTGCTTTCAAATTTGAAAACTTAATTATTCAGTTTCCCTGTAATTTATATGCATGTATACTCCTCAACTTTGTAGAAACTAGAATGTAAAGGTGTATCGATCATTTTATTAAAAAGTGAAATGAATAATAAATTACACCAAAAGCTTTACTTTTTCGTTTTAAGCAGTGTTTTGTTTTGTTGTTTTAATAGTTTTTTTTAAATATTTCAAGTTGGATCAATAACGACAATTATGTTCAGTGTGCGATCAGCTGACAGTTCAAATCAATCATAAGCCAGTTAAAAAAATCAAATTAAATCACTGCAGGTTAACTTTAGTACGATCACTGCAAAAATAATCCATTAATCATGCATCTTGTAATTAATCACGGACTTATCTCAGTTGACACGTGTTAACGTCATTTGATCTTATCTTAAATCTGTTGCGATTACAACATTAATCTTTGTATGATCCGCTTTTGGATCAGGATGTAGATAGAAGACGCAAGTGGTCGCTGAAGAAAAAAGAAAACAAAGCAAAACAGCTGATTACCCGAAGGCACGTTGCTACATGGTACGGATGACTGTTACACAGACCCGTTTTGTAAAATGGTGTATTTAAATTTTTTTTAAAAATATAAATCAAAATGTCTTAATACTTTAAACACACTTCTGTATAAGACAGTTTTTTTGTCTTTGTCTTTGTTTAAACATGCTTGTGAACAGCTGGTGAAGAATAGACATCAGTTGTCTTATCCCCAAGACAGCAACTATTTTCCAAGACGCACATGTCTCTGTCTTATCCAACCAAAAAAATCTAAACATGGGATAATTGGTAACAATTGAAGGAATTTTTGGAATAAATGTCAGTGTTCTAATCTCAGCAGCTCATTGGCTGGAATTATTTAAACAAGGCATAAAAGTATGATGAATAAAATGTCACTACAGAGAGAACCAATTAATTAGCCTGATTATTTAGCTAAATAAATAACACCTTTTTTGCATCTTGTAGATTTATTTCACCGACAGGTCGTAAACAATCAGTAAACAGGCATTTCTAGTAACAAACAAAATTACAGAATGGTAAATTATTTATAATTTAACTTGAAATTCATACAAAACAAAGTAAAATATTGGTTGATTTAAGAGTTCAGTAAAGATTAAAACTGTACAAGTATTCATCCATATAAGCAAAGTATTTTTACAATGGAGCCAGGAACACCTTTGTTATATATTTTATTTATATCATTAATACCAAGATTTATTTATTTATAAATATACATCAAGGTAAGCTCAAACATCTGGGATCTAAAGATAATTTCACCTCGAATGTACACCCTATATTATATATAGGTACCTCCAAAGCAAAGTATTTGACTATATGATTTAGAAACATGTACCCAACAAGTGAAGAATACACATGAAAATGAGAACATACATAAATGACTGAGACACACTAGTATGAAGCATACCCTCTGTACTCCTCACCTCTGAGCTTATACAGTCTTATAATAAATACACACTTATAACATGACAATATATTAAGTTTATCACCCACACTCTGAAAGCCCTTTCTATTACTTACATTCATTATTTATATCGATAACATGCATGACCTGGAAGTACCATTATCATTACTTTTCACTCTGTAATGATCATTTCAAGTTTATATTACGTTTTATTGATTTTTTCATTCAAGGAATTCTGTATACTACTTACAAATTTCAACATCGTATAAATGACAAATACATGTATTTCTTATCCATATTTCAATAAAATTGACGGAAAAATGTCACATAAAAGTTACACCGTTAAAAAATTCAAAATTTATTGATAATACAATGCATACTTGGGTACATGCCTTCGTAGAACCAGTTCTTGCCACCTTGTGTAGCTTCTGATTAAATGATAAATCCGTCTTGTATTGGATCTACGAGGGACTTCTTCATCGTCCACTCTCTTTATCACAGAACTGTACGCCGTCATCACACAATGGTCCACTCAGTGTCCACTACTTAGCAAGGAGATGATCAATCTGAAAGGATAACAATTAAACAATTAAAAAGTCATATATTAATATTTACGCATTCTACATTATACAGGCAATCAAAATATACTGGATTGAAATTCAATATGTACATGTATATTCTCTACCTCTCTTCAATTTGCTCTTTTTTCATTATTTTTGAGGCATAATACTATAATTTATATATTTGAGCAATCAGAATTTGAGAACATGTAATTTTAAAATACATCTGAATATTCAATTGACCGATCAGAGTTTGAATATCTGTAAGAACTGCGAACGATAGTATTGTTCTCCCGCCTATCTCCAAGTCAATTTTCAAAAGTTAACATATTTAAATGATTTTTCCTTTTTATATAGTTATTTATATGAATTTTCATGAAACATTACTTATTTGGGAAAACAAAGAGAGATAACTCTATAATTTGAGTAAAACGTGTTTTTCACTATAGAAATCAACGGAAAATGGAAAATATTTTTAAAACATCTCTCCCCCCCCCCCTTGAAACAAAAATTCCTTTTTACGGGTAATATGGATTGTTATTTCACAAATTCATTTCAAAGCTTTTTGTGTTTCACGGGTGGGGGGGGGGACATATGTTTACAGATAAAAAAAACGACAAAAATGCTCTCTTTTTTTTTTTTTTTTACCAATTTCGAAGGGTTTTACAACTTTAACGTTGTATTTTATCAATTACATATGTTTAATTTTATATGCGTAAAACAAAAGGAAAGATTTAATGAACATTTCTATAAAATAATTGATTCTGATTGGATAAAAAATTCTTCTGATAACTGCATCAATAAAATCTGGAGTTCACATGCACTTAGCAGCCGAAACTACTTTGGCTGACTTTACATGTATATTTCCCGCTTCCAGATTACTTTGTGAAAGAAAAATGAAATACTTTTGCTCTCTTTTCCTGAATTTCAAAACTTGTCCGGTACGTTCCTGATTTATTTTCTACTTTCGTTTCTTTCCGAATTATCCATCCCCCTTTGCTAAACAAATAAAATCGTCTGCAATGTCAACAATGCAGTTGCGGGTAAGAAATCATCATATGTATGTTATATGTTTGCCTTTGAGATAACTGGTACGAACAATAGAACTGTGAAGAAATGTTTTATGCTACCAAAGAGGAGAAATGCCGTTAATCTGTTAATTCTTAGGAAACGAATGCATGAGAAAAACGACACTGAGCGAGGACGGAATTCTTTCAATGCTACCGACTCTTTTAGATTTTACAGCATATTGTGATATGCATGGACAGGTTGTGATACGTATACATTTATATGTTCGGTTTGAAATTCAGATGAAGAAATGCGCAAATGAAATCCAAAATTTCTGTGACCTGTAGAAAAAGTTGTTAAGGTTATATTTGAGTAGCTTCCTTTTACATTTACAAACCTAAAGATATCAGCTTACCAGGGATAATATACCCATTGGGATATAGCAAAAATTAATAACACAACAGGTAAGTTTTTTTTTTATGTAAAAACTCTTATAATTGTCAGAAAGAGCTGGTAATGACACAGTATTTGAAAACGCTGTTTCTCCCTATTACTCTGCGTCTGAAAATTTAGGTAGTCTAACTAAAGTATATGTTGGACAGTCACTCGTTCTCAGGTTAAATCTCATCTTGAAAGATAAATATTAAATTATAAGAAATAAATCTTATTATTTTTTATTTGATCGATGTATCAAAGAAGACTTGGACGGTAAATTTCTTCAATGCTCGTAGATCTGTACATTCAGCCATTTTGAAATTTAGCAACGTTGTTGTGATGTATACCTACGCACAGTATTTGATGGGTAAATTAAATATTAAAGTGAAAGAAACTTTCATTTTATTTTTTTAAAATCATAATTAAATGATAAGAAATGAATGTAATATTTTTTTCTTTGACCGAAATATCAAAGAAAAAATTTGGACCGAAAACATTTTCATCAATGCGCGTAGCGCATTGATGACGTTTTCCGTCCAAATTTTTTCTTTGATACTTCGGTCAAAGAAAAAAATATTACATTCATTTCTTAATCCATATCCAAGAATATTTTAAAATATGCTTATGCTTTCAAGCCTGATTTCAATGAAACCATCATCTACCCCCGTTATAAAAAGAGTTGGAATTAAGAGTAATTAACTATTCAACACTGGTATAAAAAATATTATTCAATTACCATTGAACACTTCTTTGCATTCAACAAAGATTTTACGGCCAAATTGCCATTATTATTAATTTAAATGGGTGTAAAATGTAGGCGGGAATCGGGAGTTAGCATGCCTAGTTCTTTATACATCCAACCAATCAGAATTTGATTACCTGTAATTTGTACATCTCCTTGACATCCTGAAGATCTAGTCTCAGTTCATCAGCTTCTTCCACTTTTTCTCCATACATTTGTAACAGTGCATCATACCTCTGGTTCAAATCCTACAGTACACAGTTACATCAATTAGGTCCTTCCATCCAGAATAGATATTAATTGTTCTACTTTAACAAATTATTCATATATGATAACAAGTTTTGGGATTATGGTAAATCTATATATTTGTGTTACAATATTATATTTCTGAGACACAAAAGCATTGTATATATTTGCGAGATGCAACTTTCTTATGTTAACCAGATAAGTCAGAGTTATTTCCCATTGTTATTGCCTAGCTATACATGTACGTTTATAAATGACCCCAAAAAATGTTAAAGTCTATAAATGAAAAGTGCATGTCCTTTGAATTTAATTTTTTAAAAAGAATTACCTCATACTGCTTTTTGAGTTGTGGTAACTCTTCAATCTTTTCGTGAATTTCTTCATTTTGATTGGTCAGATTGACGAGTTCTCGAGCCATGGACTCCCGGGTTCTCTCCAATTGTTGAATATCACTCTACATCATATAAATAACTCAAATAATGCAAACAAAATTTTATCAGTAAATGCATATTAGGGAGTTAATGAACCAATATTCAGAATGATGAAAGATATAATACAAGTAGTTAAAATCATTTTTAATTGCTAAAATACATGTTTTATTCTTCAATTCAAAATATTTCATCATCAGTTTTAGTGATATTGTTTGAAAAACTTACTTTTAATTGGAAAATTTCACCATCTCGCTGTTTTAGCTGTGACTGAAGGCTGTCAATCAAATTTGCAGCCCCACCCCCTTGTCGTATACTCTCATATAGTGTAGATCTACTGGACACAGGAGACATCACTAAACTTCTTTCCAAATCATCCTACAAAGGCCAAGTAATGCTTATATTAACCTTGATCTTTCAATTTAATTAAGTGATCCTACTATACATATAACATACACTCAAACCTAAACTTGACGGGACAAAGAAAATCTTCAAGATATCAAAGGATCTGAGATAAAGAGGTAAAATTACATAAAGAAAAAGTAGGTGGGACATGATTTCCAGAGACTTCATCATATCCATGGTATTTGAAATATTGATGTTCATGATACTGAAGTTTAACTGTAAATGTTTCCAATCACTTACTCATGGTAGGCAGTGAATAAAAAGAGACTACTAATTAAATACACGCTACCACGTCACATATTCAAATCTAGTTTTAAAACATTTCAACAAAATTAAACTTTTAAGAAAATCAAGTTATTAACTACTAAGAATGCCAATTCTCCCACATTCCATAATGAGGGGGCTTAAATACCTACCGGGGGGGGGGGGGGGGGGGGGATATCATGATTTTAATTCCTAAAAAACTAAGTAGTAAGGCTTGAATAACTACTGAAAAATATTCTTGATAAATACAACTGACAACAGTATTGCATAAATTGTCAATGCACTAAGACCATTCTACTGGGTATAGCCAAAGTTTCTACAATCAAGAAGAATACTGGTTACCTGTGAGAAGGATATAGACATGGACCCATGGTCACCGGTCACACTCTCAGATCTGGACACAGACAGGGGTGACACTGACCCCCGGGACTGAGGGCGCTGGAGGTCCTTCTCCTAGAAACACATTCAGTATCTGATCACTGGATCATGAAAATGTGAAATTTTTTATTAAGTTCAAAAATATTTGTGTTGTACAGACTTTTCTGGAAAAGTTAAATTCATTTCTACTGGACAAGAAATTTGTGAATAGAACAAGAGATTTAGATGTGTGTACCATCAGTGAGATTTGTTCCTGAGCCAGGGTCAGTTTCTTCCTCTCTTGTTCCACTTTATTTTTCTCCATGTCCAGCTGGGTCTCCAGGAAAACCTGTAACAATATATAAATAGTGCATGTAGTAACACTGAAAATGTTCATCCTAAGAAAACCATTGTCAACCAAGGCCACAACTTCAGTTGACAATGGTTTTCTTGGGGTGAACATGTTCAATGTTATCCTTAACTACATGTAGTTTTTATTACTGGTATATTATACTGAATGTTTTATGCAAATACAAATAACTGGACTGTGTGGCATAGATTCCGCACAGTTAATAATTTTGTTTGAATACCATCCGTTGTCAAGTAAAGAAGACTGTTGATTTGTTCTATCACAGAGGGTGCATCATTCAGAGGGTAATAGTGCTTTTTAGCAAATGTTTCTCAATGAATTAACCTAACTTACATGAAAATATATGTACATTATAACAGATGGTTACACTTTTATGTATATTAGTCAGATAACAACTGTAAAATTATGAAGTTGTTAACTGTGAGAAAAGTTTGCAGAAAGGTTTGCATATTTAAAACATTCAATATTACAGAAAATATTTTTACATGGTTGTGAGGGAAAACATGTGAAATTGTCACCCATTTAAATATCATTGTTGACCTATGATTCACTTCAGTCAACAATGGGTTGCCACTAGGTGACAATTCATGTTACCCTCACAACCACGTAAAATTTTTATAATGGTGACTTCAACAAAGTCAGTGACAAACATAGGTAACAGTGTATTATACATCAGTGAACATTAATATATTTTCAAAGAAATGATGGGTCTCTTAATAATTTTTAGAATTGTGATACTTTTTAATTTTCTGACATTATGGTAAAATATTTATAATATCTGAAATGGTCTTACCTTTTCTTTCCTGAGGTCAGACATTTCCTGTGACATCTGTTGTTTAACAGCCTCAATCTGAACCGATTCACTGTGGGCAAAAGAAATCATGAATCTTAGCCAAACTTTATGAACATTTCATCGTTGTGAACTAAGTTTCCAAACATTGGCATTTAATTTATGAAGTGATATAGAACCTAGGAGCCAGCAAAAGTTTTGATAATTGTGAAGGCAGTTATGCAAGAATTAACAAGTGCACCCAGGTTAGTTATTATCCTCATTAACTCCATAAAATGATACCTATTCCTTATACTCAGTACCTGCTTTTAAAATTTTTTTTAAAATATTGTTCCAACACCTTTTTCTAACCAAGTCATGCAATTTTTAACTGGCCATGCCCTCTGACATCATATGATCTCTTTTTGAAGGTACATGTATAACCCCAAATTTTACAGTGATGGTTATTATAAAAAAAATTTTTACAACTTAATCTGAGTTCTCCTCTTCATGTAAAGAATGTTTACTATGCTCTACTTTTCACTTTGAAATCTCCCTACAACCAAGCCTGAGTGGATTGCTCTGAGCTTTATGAATTATCTCACAATAGTTACCTGTGTTTGGCATCCTCTAGCACCTGTACTCGAGTCTTTAACATCTCAGTCTGAGCCGTTTGTTGAGCTTTCTCCTGTCGTAGTCGACTGTTCTGAGACTCTAGTGAGGAGACTTGAGTTGAGAGCTCCATCACTTTCTCATTTGCTGATCTCTCCTTCTCCGTCACCATGGCCAGCTGGGTCTGATTTTCAACTAAAAAGCAACAATCATTATTCTATTGATTTTGATTTCAAAATTGTACATTACACTGAAGGTATTTAAAAGGATTCTAAATGGTGAATTAAATCATGCACACATATCATATAATGAAACATAAAGTGTCATGCTCAATGCTGATATTGAAGATTCCAAAATATCTGCAAGGAATTCATTATTAAGTAATTCTGAGAGAAGCACTACTTGAGAAATAAAAATACATGTACTCGCTTTTCTTTTTATATTTTCTGAAATAATCTAAAAACTCTAGATCAACAATCCATTCATGAATTCATTTTCTTAGTATCTGATGTCTATGAGTCATTTTGAGATATTTAGTACACATGTAAAATAAGAATCTACAGTATGTTACAAATAACGACCCCATACCTAGCCTGTCAGAGAGATTCTTTTCTAGTTTTTCCCAGGACAGAGACTGAGCCGCATATGTTGACTGAAGATTCTCAATCTGTCTCAGCAGGGGGCGGGTGGCTGAAAGAAACAACAGCTCAAAAAACCAATATATATCACACATACATAAACAAGAATTTTGTTCTTTTTTTTGACATTCTAATGAAGGATTTCAATATCCATTAGAAAACGTATCCCTAGTACACAATGGCAATGTTGCCTTACCAGATGTTACATTTTGAGTGAGGTCCTGATTTCTTGCTTCGTCTTCTTGTAAATGCTGGAAGTAAATTGTCATTGTAAACATTTCTCAAGCAGACAAGTATGCATAAAAACATCAAGGAAACTGTACCAGAAATGACCTAATTTGAAAAATAAAAATTCTCCATCATCTTCAGTTTACTGATTACAATGTTAAAATGATGTGATGTAGATTAGATAAATAAAGAAGATTGTGTTACCCGCTGTAAATCAGAGATTTCTTGTCGTAGCATGTCTTCTCTCCTATTGTGTTCCTTCTCCATCCTAGACACAGTCATTCTCAGATCCTCTATCTGTAAAACCAATAACACATAGACACAGTCATTGTCAGATCCTCTATCTGTAAAACCAATAACACATAGACACAGTCATTGTCAGATCCTCTGTCTATAAAACCAATAACACATAGACACAGTCATTGTCAGATCCTCTATCTATAAAACCAATAACACATAGACACAGTCATTGTCAGATCCTCTATCTGTAAAACCAATAACACATAGACACAGTCATTGTCAGATCCTCTATCTGTAAAACCAATAACACATAGACACAGTCATTGTCAGATCCTCTATCTATAAAACCAATAACACTTAGACACAGTCATTGTCAGATCCTCTATCTATAAAACCAATAACACATAGACACAGTCATTGTCAGATCCTCTATCTGTAAAACCAATAACACATAAACACAGTCATTGTCAGATCCTCTATCTGTAAAACCAATAACACTTAAACACAGTCATTGTCAGATCCTCTATCTGTAAAACCAATAGCACATAGACACAGTCATTGTCAGATCCTCTATCTATAAAACCAATAACACATAGACACAGTCATTGTCAGATCCTCTATCTGTAAAACCAATAACACATAGACACAGTCATTGTCAGATCCTCTGTCTGTAAAACCAATAACACATAGACACAGTCATTGTCAGATCCTCTATCTGTGAAACCAATAACACATAGACACAGTCATTGTCAGATCCTCTGTCTGTAAAACCAATAACACATAGACACAGTCATTGTCAGATCCTCTGTCTGTAAAACCAATAACACATAGACACAGTCATTGTCAGATCCTCTATCTGTAAAACCAATAACACATAAACACAGTCATTGTCAGATCCTCTATCTGTAAAACCAATAACACTTAAACACAGTCATTGTCAGATCCTCTATCTGTAAAACCAATAGCACATAGACACAGTCATTGTCAGATCCTCTATCTGTAAAACCAATAACACATAGACACAGTCATTGTCAGATCCTCTGTCTGTAAAACCAATAACACATAGACACAGTCATTGTCAGATCCTCTATCTGTGAAACCAATAACACATAGACACAGTCATTGTCAGATCCTCTGTCTGTAAAACCAATAACACATAGACACAGTCATTGTCAGATCCTCTGTCTGTAAAACCAATATCACATAGACACAGTCATTGTCAGATCCTCTATCTATAAAACCAATAACACATAGACACAGTCATTGTCAGATCCTCTGTCTGTAAAACCAATAACACATAGACACAGTCATTGTCAGATCCTCTATCTATAAAACCAATAACACATAGACACAGTCATTGTCAGATCCTCTATCTGTAAAACCAATAACACTTAGACACAGTCATTGTCAGATCCTCTATCTGTAAAACCAATAACACATAGACACAGTCATTGTCAGATCCTCTATCTATAAAACCAATAACACATAGACACAGTCTTTGTCAGATCCTCTGTCTATAAAACCAATAACACATAGACACAGTCATTGTCAGATCCTCTGTCTATAAAACCAATAACACATAGACACAGTCATTGTCAGATCCTCTATCTATAAAACCAATAACACTTAGACACAGTCATTGTCAGATCCTCTATCTGTAAAACCAATAACACATAGACACAGTCATTGTCAGATCCTCTATCTGTAAAACCAATAACACTTAAACACAGTCATTGTCAGATCCTCTATCTGTAAAACCAATAACACATAGACACAGTCATTGTCAGATCCTCTATCTGTAAAACCAATAGCACATAGACACAGTCATTGTCAGATCCTCTATCTGTAAAACCAATAACACATAGACACAGTCATTGTCAGATCCTCTATCTGTGAAACCAATAACACATAGACACAGTCATTGTCAGATCCTCTATCTGTAAAACACAATAACACATAGACACAGTCATTGTCAGATCCTCTATCTGTAAAACCAATAACACATAGACACAGTCATTGTCAGATCCTCTGTCTATAAAACCAATAACACATAGACACAGTCATTGTCAGATCCTCTATCTATAAAACCAATAACACATAGACACAGTCATTGTCAGATCCTCTATCTGTAAAACCAATAACACTTAGACACAGTCATTGTCAGATCCTCTATCTATAAAACCAATAACACATAGACACAGTCATTGTCAGATCCTCTGTCTGTAAAACCAATATCACATAGACACAGTCATTGTCAGATCCTCTGTCTATAAAACCAATAACACATAGACACAGTCATTGTCAGATCCTCTATCTATAAAACCAATAACACTTAGACACAGTCATTGTCAGATCCTCTATCTATAAAACCAATAACACATAGACACAGTCATTGTCAGATCCTCTATCTGTAAAACCAATAACACTTAAACACAGTCATTGTCAGATCCTCTATCTGTAAAACCAATAACACATAGACACAGTCATTGTCAGATCCTCTATCTGTAAAACCAATAGCACATAGACACAGTCATTGTCAGATCCTCTATCTGTAAAACCAATAGCACATAGACACAGTCATTGTCAGATCCTCTATCTATAAAACCAATAACACATAGACACAGTCTTTGTCAGATCCTCTGTCTATAAAACCAATAACACATAGACACAGTCATTGTCAGATCCTCTGTCTATAAAACCAATAACACATAGACACAGTCATTGTCAGATCCTCTATCTGTAAAACCAATAACACATAGACACAGTCATTGTCAGATCCTCTATCTATAAAACCAATAACACTTAGACACAGTCATTGTCAGATCCTCTATCTATAAAACCAATAACACATAGACACAGTCATTGTCAGATCCTCTATCTGTAAAACCAATAACACATAGACACAGTCATTGTCAGATCCTCTATCTGTAAAACCAATAACACTTAAACACAGTCATTGTCAGATCCTCTATCTGTAAAACCAATAACACATAGACACAGTCATTGTCAGATCCTCTATCTGTAAAACCAATAACACATAGACACAGTCATTGTCAGATCCTCTATCTGTGAAACCAATAACACATAGACACAGTCATTGTCAGATCCTCTATCTGTAAAACACAATAACACATAGACACAGTCATTGTCAGATCCTCTATCTGTAAAACCAATAACACATAGACACAGTCATTGTCAGATCCTCTGTCTATAAAACCAATAACACATAGACACAGTCATTGTCAGATCCTCTATCTGTAAAACCAATAACACATAGACACAGTCATTGTCAGATCCTCTATCTGTAAAACCAATAACACATAGACACAGTCATTGTCAGATCCTCTATCTGTAAAACCAATAACACTTAGACACAGTCATTGTCAGATCCTCTATCTATAAAACCAATAACACTTAGACACAGTCATTGTCAGATCCTCTATCTATAAAACCAATAACACATAGACACAGTCATTGTCAGATCCTCTATCTGTAAAACCAATAACACATAGACACAGTCATTGTCAGATCCTCTATCTGTAAAACCAATAACACTTAGACACAGTCATTGTCAGATCCTCTATCTGTAAAACCAATAACACTTAGACACAGTCATTGTCAGATCCTCTATCTATAAAACCAATAACACATAGACACAGTCATTGTCAGATCCTCTGTCTATAAAACCAATAACACATAGACACAGTCATTGTCAGATCCTCTATCTGTAAAACCAATAACACATAGACACAGTCATTGTCAGATCCTCTATCTGTAAAACCAATAACACTTAGACACAGTCATTGTCAGATCCTCTATCTATAAAACCAATAGCACATAGACACAGTCATTGTCAGATCCTCTATCTGTAAAACCAATAACACATAGACACAGTCATTGTCAGATCCTCTATCTGTAAAACCAATAACACATAGACACAGTCATTGTCAGATCCTCTATCTGTAAAACCAATAGCACATAGACACAGTCATTGTCAGATCCTCTATCTGTAAAACCAATAACACATAGACACAGTCATTGTCAGATCCTCTATCTGTAAAACACAATAACACATAGACACAGTCATTGTCAGATCCTCTGTCTATAAAACCAATAACACATAGACACAGTCATTGTCAGATCCTCTATCTATAAAACCAATAACACATAGACACAGTCATTGTCAGATCCTCTATCTGTAAAACCAATAACACATAGACACAGTCATTGTCAGATCCTCTATCTGTAAAACCAATAACACATAGACACAGTCATTGTCAGATCCTCTGTCTATAAAACCAATAACACATAGACACAGTCATTGTCAGATCCTCTATCTATAAAACCAATAACACATAGACACAGTCATTGTCAGATCCTCTATCTATAAAACCAATAACACTTAGACACAGTCATTGTCAGATCCTCTATCTATAAAACCAATAACACATAGACACAGTCATTGTCAGATCCTCTATCTGTAAAACCAATAACACATAGACACAGTCATTGTCAGATCCTCTATCTGTAAAACCAATAACACTTAAACACAGTCATTGTCAGATCCTCTATCTGTAAAACCAATAACACATAGACACAGTCATTGTCAGATCCTCTATCTGTAAAACCAATAGCACATAGACACAGTCATTGTCAGATCCTCTATCTGTAAAACCAATAACACATAGACACAGTCATTGTAAGATCCTCTGTCTGTAAAACCAATAACACATAGACACAGTCATTGTCAGATCCTCTATCTGTGAAACCAATAACACATAGACACAGTCATTGTCAGATCCTCTATCTGTAAAACACAATAACACATAGACACAGTCATTGTCAGATGCTCTATCTGTGAAACCAATATCACATAAAGTCAGTCTCCAATAATGGGGTCACACATGTAAATATCTCACAAATAAATCTCTCATTCTCTGTACTGTATGAATGAAGTAGTACATGTACTAGCATTTCCGTATGCAGTGTTTATCATAGTTATTAGCACTGTAAAATAACTTCACCACAGTGTACTTTTAAAACTTGCATATTTTCACTCGTATTAACTTTTTTAAATACACTTCTGTGAAATTTCCTAGACTATATTTCTTAAGCAAAATATGCAGTTTTGAAAGAACCAAACACTTAAAATAAACTGATAGAATCTTTTTTTTTTAATTTACAGAGAATACTATATGTTTGATGTGAGACCTGATTGATCAGAGCTTCTTTCTCCTGCTGGTTACTCTTGCGTTCTTGCTCGAGCTGAGATTTCAGTTCTTCTCGGACCTGCATCTCGAGACTCAGTGCTGTCTCAGCAGCTTTGCTGTCCTGTGCTGCACTAGAGCGGTGTAATTCTGCTATCTCCCTGTAATCATAACTTAAACACATCATAGAGAGAAAACATCAAAAATTATAACAGAAAAAAAATCACTGACAAAAACATATCATAGATCGAAAGCATAAAAAATTATCACAGAAAAAATTCTGCAAACTGAAAGTTTTTAAGTTCAAATGAAGGAAAGTCTAGGGGGTTTAAACATACAGACTATACTGTAGTTATTTCAATAGTTTTTTGTTTTTTTTTAAGGGGGGGGGGGTATGACTTTACTTGTAGGAGTTGTCCAGGGCTGTTTGTAATCCTCGAACTCTCTCCTGGGCATCTTCTAGGTCACTCTATTGTAATGAGAATGGATCTTATTAATCTAGAGTTCCACAGGCAAACAATACTTCATATACTTTAATTTTCACTAATTAGAAATGATACGGAAATCTAGAATAAGATACCAGATAAATGTCAGGTGATGTACAGTTGTCAGGATATTTATACATTGGAAAATATGTAAATCAGAGTCATACCATTTGTAGATATTTCTTGCTTACTTCATTTCAATCATCAATTTTATTTCTATGTTTGCAGTATCTTTGTTTAAATCATCAACTTGTTTTTTATGTTTACAGTATTCTTTCTATATGTGTTCACCTTGAGTTTGGATTTTTCTCTCTCCTGTTTTTGGACAGCTGTATTTAACTGATTGATGGCCTCTGAAATAAGATTCTGGGTTACAAAATTGTTTACTGGTAATATGAACACCATATACACTGTATATTACCCTGAAAATATTGCATTTCAAATGTTTAATATAATTAAAAAACTTTCAATGTTTCACTTTCATACTAATACTTCTTCCCAATTCTCCACACATTCTACGAGAATTCCGTTTACCTGTCTGTTTCTTCTCTAAATCGTCCTTGACCTCACACACCTTGCGCAGGTGCTCTAACTCTGTTTTCTGATCCTCCAGCTTTTTCCTGTAATTACACATAAATACAACTTTTAAAATAACTTCTGGTACAATTTTTACTTATCAACTGAGAGAGTATATGTCAAACAATCAGACTAATTAGACTTAAATTTCTAATTGCATGGACAGTATTTAATTTTCATCCTGCATCAGTTTCAGTAACAAATTTAACAATAACTGTTACATCACTTACATGTTTGTCACAACACAATCTAGATATTATAAAGATGACACATTATCTTTCAAAGAATAAACAAAAATTAAGACAACAGAAAACAAAATATGGATGGAGAAGTTAAAGAGACATCCATTTTGATGAGAGACTTAAATTGCTTCACAAGAAAGAATACTTAGTACAATTTACATGTATCTGGATGTACACAAACAAGCAGGATGATTTCTACCAAAATATGACCTATACCCTGATGAAAAGTTTCCCAGCATTCCAGATGTTGGACTTACTACATTTGAGATGTTATGAGGTAGTCATTTTCCCAGCATGCCTTATAGTGGACTTTTTTTTGAGATGTAATGAGGTAGTCATTTTCCTAGCATGCCTTATAGTGGACATTTTTTTGAGATGTAATGAGGTAGTCATTTTCCCAGCATGCCTTACAGTGGACTTTTTTTTGAGATGTAATGAGGGAGTCATTTTCCCAGCATGCCTTATGGTGGACTTACTTTTGAGATTTAATGAGGGAGTCATTTTCCCAGTATCCCTTATGGTGTACTTACTTTTGAGATGTAATGAGGGAGTCATTTTCCCAGCACCTTATGGTGGACTTAATTTTGAGAAGTAATGAGGGAGTCATTTTCCCAGCACCTTATGGTGGACTTAATTTTGAGAAGTAATGAGGGAGTCATTTTCCCAGCATGCCTTAAGATGGACTTACTTTTGAGATGTAATGAAGGAGTCATTTTCCATGCATGCCTTATGTTGGACTTACTTTTGAGATGTAATGAGGGAGTCATTTTCTTTCTCTTTAGCCCTCAGCTTCTTGATGATGTTATTACTCTGTAGTTGTTGTTTGGAAAGCTTCTCTCCTGTAATATTGATGCCAATTTTATCAAAATTTTTGTAAGTAACACTATTTTTCCCCTTCCCAAATTTCCTGTTTTTAAATTCTTTTACTTGTTGTCTTGACCCCACACCATACCTTCCTGCAGTAGTTCTTTAATCTGTTGATCTTTCTCCTGAATCTGACAGGATTTTTCTTTTGTTCTGGAACATAATACAAAACTTTTAGTTCTTTCCTTCCACCAAAAAATGTAATAAAATGCACTTGTTCATTTGCCATACAGTAGTTGTGAAATCCTTAAACATGTATTTATCAAGAAAATGAGGTGGAATATCTGTGAACTCGATAACTTACTTTTTTGCTAACTCATCTTGAGTGTCTTGGAGTTGTTTCTTCACGGTTTCTTTTTCCTGTAATTTACAATACACAGAATATAGGTCTGAATGATCTTACTTAGTACAAGTACCTGAATGTACTCCTTGAATGTGGTAGAAATTTAAATGGGGACTATTACTGTATGGATAATACACATTTTATTTAAACTTCACTCATCATGGAACATGAACTCTATTTATTTAATCACTATATACAAACTTGTGTGTTCTGTCCAGGCATGGCTGCACAAAAAGGGGATGGTGCCACATAACAGGGGTATGGTGCCACATAACATGTGAAAAAAAAGCTTTGAGTCGGCCATTTTTGGCCAGTCTGTTGGGAGAAGGCATCCAAACAATTTTTCAAAGATGGCCGCAGTTATCCTTACAAGACTAAGAATTCTATTCATTTGCCTGTATATACCTACCCTTATCACCTGGTTGATTTTTTTCTCGGCCTCAGACAGCCTCTTGGTGAATTCTGACGTGACGTTGTTAACATCTTCCGATTCTGCTTCTTTTAATTCTTCTAACTGCTGAATTTGACTGTCGGCAGAAACGCTCAAATAAGCATCAACATTATTGCAGCTGTATGTAATGAACTAAAGTCTTTAAAAGAATTGCATCATAGATCTTTGGAGAAGGCATCTGAAAACTCTTACAGGTTATAGTTTATTTTTTTAATCATAAATCGTACTACACATGTTGACAATATACAAATGCCTATGTGTGCTGTGACATACTTGTATGTGTGTGTGTGCTGTGACATACTAGTTTGTATGTGTGTGCTGTGACATACTAGTTTGTATGTGTGTATGTGTGTGTGCTGTGACGTACTTGTATGTGTGTGTGTGCTGTGACGTACTAGTTTGTATGTGTGTATGCTGTGACATACTAGTTTGTATGTGTGTGTGCTGTGACATACTAGTTTGTATGTGTGTGTATGTGTGTGTATGCTGTGACGTACTTGCGTAGGATGTTACTGGTTTCCATCAAGTCATTGTTGTCTTTACTCATCTGAACCAGTTTACTTTCTCTGGCTTGTAGAATTTCCGTCAGCTCAGCAATTTTCTGAAAGTGCATTCAAAATAAATGTCATCATTGTGTACCTGAATGTAGAAAACTATTCAGTGTATTACATGAATGTAGGTTTTAATACTTAAAAAATACCCGAATACATTGCGTGCTGGTTGAAGCAAAGGGTGAAGTTATTTTATTTTTCATTACTCTAAAATCCTCTATACTTAATCAAGGAAAATAGAGCATTAATGTCACAGAGATAGAAAATAAGCAAATCCTGAAATGCCTCTGCTTAGAAACTGATGGAGAATTATACATGTATCAAAAGTCATACAATGAGAAAAAGCATGCTTATTTATCTTTACACAAGTTAAACACTTGATAGCTTTGTATTATTACTACCAGAAATGAAAAAAGAAAAAGGACAAAACATACATAGTTATATTGAAGGAACCCCAATGATGGATGAAAAACCAACCTTTTATGACCATAGCTCACCTCAATGATTATCATTTATGAGTGATGCTGTCAATTAGCTATTTCATCACTATGAGGGAAAATCAGCATCCAAAATTAAACTGATACCTAGCATCATCTCTCTCCAGCAGAATCCTTATGGTAAGCCTTAGAGTTTTCTAAAGACCTTTACCTGGACATCGTAATCTAGCAACTATAGTCATGTGTAACAAATGAAACAAATCTATTGGTAACCATCCATGCTTGAATCTTCTGTTCAAGTTTGGTTAAGAAGAGAACAGTATCTGTCAGTCTTGAAGCCAAGACTAGTAATGTTTTCCCTGAACAAATTAATTATAAAGAATGTTAGTAATTCCTGCATTAATTCTGAAAAAAATTATGGACTTCAGGGCTAGCTAGAGCTATTCCTATTTCTTTTATTTATCTTTTTTTTTTTTTGCTGGAGGTTTCATACAATGCAATAAAGGTCAAAATATACATGTTCTTCAGAATGCTCCTGCTTAAAGCATGTCAATCCTGGTCACTCATTCTGATACCCAATGTCATTGCAACATCTAATGAATGACTGGTGTATGCATTTCTAGATGTACACGTTTCATGCAAAATTGGTCCAGATCTTGTTTGCCTTTACTTGGGAATAGTTTGCTTTCGAATTTGACCCTCGACACATACAGCTACATCAAAACTAGGATTATAGCATTGAAACTTTCTTGAGGTGAGCTAAAAAAATATGATGAATGTTGCATGTGCTTGATGTAAATGATTATTGCCCAGCGCCTTCATTTATTCAATAATTACTGGTAATGTTCAGTGAACTAATATTTTCTATTATCTGACATGTACATCACAGAATTGTAGAACTGTTCAGAGAAAACTGAATTCACACATTTTTTATGCAAGTCTCCTTTTTAAAAAAAAATATTTTGTATTATTGAATTCTGCTCCACCAGTTACGCCATTTACTTCTTTGGTACTTTACCTTATATGCTTCATGGAAAAAAAAACAAAAACCAAAACTGAAAATGGAATGATCATGTAAACATTGAATACATAGTGTTAGTGCAAAACCCCACGAGACACTGAAAGCTGTAGCACACACCAACATCAAACAACATCTAAATGGGACCTGCTCAGGGGTCAATAATGTTTATATAAATATAACAGTATTTGCAGCTTATCATATTATATCACAACTTTTTTCTGTTTCAATTCAAACTTTAAAAAAACAACAACTCTTTATTATGGTGTTCTGAGAGTAGCAATTATTTTATGAAAACTTTCTTTTTCTAAAAAATTTACACCAACACCACATGATTGTCTTTCTTATTGCAGTGATGAACAAAATTGTCAAATTGTTAATAGGAAAAAGAATACTGCAATAAAAAAAAGGTTTGGTAAATTGATATTTTATAAATTCAGCTATGTGTATATATAAGTTTATTTTGCACTTCTGACAAGGACAGCACTGAGATGGTCCCTATGTAGAAGGTTGTTTGACCTTTGACCCCTACACAAACCCTGACCTGCTGGTATACTACATCGCTGTTTGTGGTGTCCGTATTCTCAGGGACGGTCTGTAACTAAAACATACAGCTTCTTATAAATACTTCCTATTTCTAATCCAGCACCAGAAGTCCAGTCCCTAGTCGTACACTGTTCTAATGCTATAATTTCTCAAATATTCAGTCTTAATTTGGATTTAACCACACCTCGAAAAAAGCTGGGTTTTTTGTGCCCCACTACTCAGTAAACCCAGGTTGTTCTGTATGCATTAATTCACAAGCATTTGAAATAACTAGTATTTTTTCTCAACATCATGCAGAAATGACTTTTTATAACAACAAACATGAGCTGGCTTTACATGCTTAACATGAAAACTTTATAAATGTTAAACTTTACAGAAGATAAAGTAATTGTATTTTTCCATGCAGAGTAACCCTGGAGATTTAACAAACATTTTTTTTTTAAACTTAAAATGTAATTGAAATAATGATAAAAGCATTTATTCCATTGCTAAAATCAATTGTTAGTATACTAAGCAAACAGCTGGCAATATTATCATGTCCAAACATGCTCATAACAACAAGCAATGTATGCATGTCCTATGTTACTTCTTGTTCCAAGTGTTAAGCGTAATCTGAACAAGTACACAGTGTTACCTTAATGAGCTTCTGCTGTTGATCATTTTCAAAATGTTCACTAAGTGGGAACAGGTCATGTTTTCCTCCTACAAAAAACCAATAAATATGAAATTTCTGTAAAAATCTTAATCTATTTAAAATTTATATTCTTTAATCAGCTCAAAAAACTTCAGATCTTTTTTGAACCAGTCAAGGAATCTGATTTTAATAAAATTAGACAAAAAAATGTCAAATAACATCTTTTGAGGTGAACCTAACCTTCATGCATATGCTGGTTTCCCCTATGGTCATCTTCATCTTGATAATCCCTCCCTGGACTGAGTTGTTCAAACTGTCCCTCCCTACTGTGGGTGCTAGAGCTGGACTGACTATCAGATCGCCTATGGGTGGGGCTGCTTCCTCTACGTGCCGTTTTCTGGAGGGATATCTTCAAGGGAGATAAATCCACCATTTTAGACCCATCTCCATTGGAAGTAGGAGTTGACACGTGTGATATGATTTCTATGTCGGAGGATGTAGTTGTGGAAATCTCATCCCCCGAGTCATGGCCTCCTGTGCTGCGAGAACACTCTGACTTTGATGGTGTGTCACTTCCATTATCCTCCATTTTGGCACTGTCATCCATTGCATCTTCAATCATACACTTAACATATGAACTACTAGGAGAAATTTCTCCCATGTTTTCTGAGGGCTCAACATCTTGATTTTCTGATGATTCTGGAACTTTTTCTGGAATGTAATCTTCTGGTATGCTTTCATCAGATTTTGTCATCTTTGTTGAACTCTTTTCAATGACTGTTTCATCTGATGTGTAGGTATCTAAACTACTGTCCAGTTTGTTTGTGTCTGAGTCTGTTCCACCAAGTGAACTTGCTGTTGAAGGGCTCAGAGGTAAACCAGAAAGCCTCTCTTGATCGATATCTGGACTATTAGATGGAATGTCAACTGGTTGAGATCTGTTTACTTCAGCTAAAGAATCAAAACCAACTGGAATATTAACATCATTTTCTCTTTCACAGACAAGTGTGCCCTCTTCTCCAACTGCAGTACCTTCATCCACTTTTTCCATCATTTCTCCTTCTTCCACTTCTTTGGTTTGGACCTCTATAGCTTCCTCTTCTTGTTGACTCTCCACTTTATTTTGAATCTGTTCCTCAGTACCCTCATCCACTCTCCACTGTTCCTGATCTTGTATGCACTCAACTAAATTGTCTTCTTTCACAATACTCTCTTCTCCTTCTCTTTTCACTTCAGTAATTGCTATATTTTCCTTGAAATCAGAATGAATCACTTGCGATGGGCTTTGTGGAGTTTCTTTGTGTGACTGTTCACTGACTATTAATTCACTAGATCCACCCTCTGGTTCAGAAACACTGGATAATGGTGGTTCACTATCAGAACTCTCTTGTTCTAACTCTGTTAAACTGGAACGTTTATTGTCTTCAGAACATATAGATTTTTCAGCACTTTCTTGATTAATTATAGCTACATCTGTTACTTTATCTCTGTTAATTATTTCATCACTAACTGATTTAAGTGTATCATTGTTCATCTCCTTTTCGTTATTTTCATCTTCACAAACTTCCTTTTCCTGAACTTTAATGTCTTCTGTGGTCTCTAATAAATCACTTTCTTTTACACTCTCCACATTTTGTGACTCCAGTTTTGATTTTTCTTCCACATTCTCTTCTGCTCCTTTGTTTTCAGTCTGTTCGTTTTGTACACTGGATTTTAATTTCAGTGCCCCTTTCTTACTTTTAGATGACAAACCACCAGGTTTTGGGTTGACAGGTGATGATTCAGTTTTCTTGACAGTGGAAGCCGCACTAGATTGATCCAGTTGTGACTTTTCTTTTTTAGGCTTGGTAAGACTGGTATCCATCCCCCATGGCATGGACCAGGCACTTCTTGTGTCCTCTTCAGATTCATCCTTTCCTTTGTCCAAAGAAAACGACCCCCAGGAAGACCACGACGAACCTGTGTCTTTTACATTTTTAGGTTCCTCAGAAGACTTGGCAACTTTGTTTTCTGTAAAACAATTTTAATGTTCATTATCAAATTTAACAATTAATTTGATTTTTCTTTTATGGAATGTATCAATCAAAACTTACTTTTTAACCTGGATTAAATCTATCAAAGATATTGCAATTTTGCTTTACTAATAACCAATTAAAAGTCAGCTTAAACCATTTCCTTGAGTGGTAAGGTTATAGCCAATGTTCAGTATCACCCATACATGTTTTACATCAGTTAACTTCTGGAGTACCTGCAATTCTCATAATATATGGAAATTTATCTGTAAAATTCTCACTAGCTATTTAAATTTTACCTGATACTGATGAAGTCTCTACCACAGCCCCATCCTCGTTAATGTCAAGGACTTTATCAATCTTTTTCTGAGCATTCTTCAAAGCCTGAGTTGCAAAGCTGGAGAAACTTGACGTGTCCCACCAACTCATTCTGAACAACTATTGCTCAAACACCAACATGTCTAACAAAAAAAAAAAGGAAGTAGATTCAATAACACAGACTTATCCTTTAGTTGTAAAAGCTCACTCTTTATATATTTGAGACTAAATATTTCGTAACTGGGTGGTTTTAAGGTGAATGAAGTAATTCATTGTCGCTACTGTTGCTATTTAACAGCAATGTTAAGGCAGTGCTCTTGTATGGGCCAGAAACATGGAGGACAAATGCTACAATAACAAATAATATCCAGACATTCGTCAACACATGTCTAAGGAACATCCTCCAGATCAGATTACCTGACAAAATCAACAACACCAAACTGTGGCAGAGAACAAACCAAGCCTCAATTGAAGAGGAGATAATGTAGAAAAAGTTGAAGTGGATAAAGACACAATCTATACAAGCCACATACTAACACCACAAGGCATTGTAGCCCTGTCCTGGAATCCCTAAGGAAAATGCAAGAGGGGTAGGGCCAAGAAACCCCTGGTAAAGAGTCTGACTTAGAGGCCGACACCTAGTTAGAATAATCTAACTGTGTCTCGGGACACCAGGAACAAGAAAAACATGGAAAGAGCTGAAATAAATTCCTTGGGATAGAAAGGCCTGGAGAAATCTTGTGGGTGGCTTATGCCCCAAAAGGGGTAGTAGGTATAACTAATTAAAGATTAGTGATTCTCTCTCTCTTAGTGTCACCAGTTTGACAAGTAATGACAAGTCTGAAACTGAAAGGTGAGAAGTTAATACACTGTATATGGTACATGTCTCATTCAGTTGCTAGTTCCTGATCCACTGTAAGAAAATAATGGACTTTCTACTTTAAAAGAAATGATTTCTTACAGAAATACTTCCACATTCATGCTTTCAGTTCCGCTGTAACAATTCTTATAAACAGAGAACTATAGAAGCAGTAGGCCTAAACACGACTGTTTGATGTACGTATCCTTATGCAACGAATAGATCTAGTCAGAATACCTTTATTTACAAATTGGATGTCATGTAAAAGCATAGTTTAGATTTTATGTGTCTCTACACTAATATGCAGACGTCTATTTTTCTTTTAAGCAATCCAGAAATTCCATTCTTTCTGAATTCTCCTTGTGTTTAACATTGTTTATTCGTACCTCTTTTGGTTTTCCTTCGAAAAGACCTGGTGTATAGAGATTTCTTTAATAGATCATAAATGTTTACAAATTTGACATGGGCGCAGCCATTTTGTTTTGTTGACGTAGCAAGTGCTTACTTGTTGGTGAATTAAATTGCTGGTTCCCCGTTGTGTGAATGCAAAGAGAAGTTGTTATCAAACTATCGACTCAAACAGAGATTGTGATTATGTGTATTGTTAATTAGAAATAAATTGATGATTATAATTACGGCATTTGGCATATGTAGTTCGTTTGATGTCATCTTTCCAGTTGCTCCGGTGGCACAATCGGTTAGCGCGCCGTACTTATAGACAGTACCTTCCCTGTGCTTGCACAGGATGAGGAATGCGGAGGTTGTGAGTTCGAGCCTCACCCGGAGCACTATTTTTTTTCATGATAATTTTTATAGTCGTCCAATTAAAATTTCCCCCATCTACTTGTCTTAATACGTCATGAAAATTATCAAACCATTTCTTTTTGAAAGGGGAAAAAATGGCAACACACTCAAGACAAAATCAAAATCGATGGAATACTTTCGCGAATTAACGCCAAAGTAAAACCAGGGACCTATACAGTATATTATAGGTCCTCGGTAAAAAATGTTCATGGAAAGGCCGGTTGCCTCCTGTTGCTTGTCGACTCCCCCCCCCCCCCCCCCCCACACACACACACTCACACACGAAATAGGAGTTTTGACTTACGACAGTTTCCCTTTTTTATTTTCTTGCCAATTATATTTCCTGTCCCCTCCCCCACATTCAAAAACGATGGTTGACACGGTTACTGTTTGATAAGTTTGTGTTATGTGTACCCATGCAGTTAATTAAGACCCGATTCGGTGCCTCAAGTTTTTTTTGTTTTGTTTGTTTGTTTTTTTTTTGTTTTGTTTTGTTTTTTTTTTTTTTTGGAGTGGGGTGGGTTGAGGTGGGGGTGGGGTGTGGGGCTTTTCTTTGATCATTCATTTTCACCTTTTCGCCCCGAAATAAGAAGAGAGAAAAGGTTTCCTTTCAGCTGATGATGAACTATTTATGTATATAATATTACATGTAGATATTTTTACTTTGCCTCCACTCTCTACTCTAAGCATCGTCCGAGATTCTGTCTAATATACGTCATTTTATGATTTTTTAAATTTACAACTGTATCGTAGCTTCCCTGTTTTTAAGACAGAACTTTTTTAAAAATGCTCTACACGGAGCACTATCAACGGAATGGGTTGAAAATTGAATGAGTTTGTTGGGAGTGTATATGGTATACTGGAATAGGCCAATATGATAAAAAGCTTTGCACTGATCTAGATATAGGAAGTGTCAGCGATTTAATCAGACTGCATATTATTCTGCATAATACAGACTATCCATATTCAGGCCCATAGAATGAGCTGGGCGCGGGGGGGGGGGCGCAGTGGGTCCCGGCCCCGACTTTTTTTCCGAGTATAGTATTTTGCTATAGTAAATTTTCATTCCCACTGGCGGATTTAAGGGGGGGCGTGGGGGGCGCACGCCCTCCCTAAAATTTTCAAAGTATGACATGACTAATATTAATAATGCCATACTTTGGTTTTATAATTAATGGTCAATTAAAAAATGGTAATTTTATTTAATGACCAAGTATCGGTTTTCTTAAAAATCAAGTCTAAAAACCTTGCATTCCCTAGGCTATGATATCTCATAATTATTCAAACCGAAAAACGTCGAGCCGATTTCGATTGAAGGGTAGACTGCACTTGTCAATTTCCTATCATGATGCAAGGAAAAATACTGGAATATATAAAGGCTGGTCGAAGGTAAATAAATGAATTTAAAATCAGACGGTCTACGTTACAAACCCGTCCACTGATTGATGTATTTATTTATCAAATGGTGTAACTATGCAGTAATTTACTTACATAGATACAAGACTTTTTTTCATTACACACGTCTCATATTCTTTCCATATAAATGGAATTTAAGGTCAAGATCTAGTAAATGAAAGGTGCCTACAGATTTCTCAAATTTGAGAAATAAAGTCCTTTAATGGTGCTTTATAACTTTAGCTTGGTCAAATAAGGTGTTTCGGGGAAAAATTTGTAGATGAACAAGACGAAAAATCATATTTTAAACTGTCATTTTCAATGGAAAATTAAGAAAACTAGTCATGAATATGGGAGTTTTTTCCATATCAGACAAAGAAATGCATCCAGATTGCCTACAGTCTCTCAGAAAACGGTGATTTATATGTTCTTGGCCTCTTCTTTAAAATAATCTCAAATTGAAAATAGGTATCGGGATTATTTTTCACATGATTTCAAATTGAATTCCATGAAAGTACTTTATTTTCTACAAAATTCTACTAGAGCCGTAAAGTACGGGAAAAAGAAAGTTAAAATTGATTATGACGTCATAATGGAGCTAGCACCAAAAAGTTAGTCTGAAGTCATTTACTAGATCTTGACCTTAACGTCAGGATATAGGTTAGGATGGTGTAACTTCGACCACCTGCTTAATTTCGACCGTTCATAAACACCTTAAAATAATTTGTTTATAACCCATTATAGTGTACACTCATCTATTTTATGCAGAAAGAAAATGCATTTTTCATATACAAATCAATGTCGATAATAATAGGCGAAATTTATTTCTTCACTAGAAAATTACATCCAAGAAGAAACCTTATCGCCCGAAAAATTAAAGTTGAGTATTTTTAAACCATTGCGGGGAATTATCAGTTTATCACCTCTGAAAATATCTTGTATATATAGAAAGACACAGTGGATATTCCTGGCGTGAAATTTATCAACTATGTTTAATTTTACAACTTAAATTCATACCTTTTTAATTTATAGTATTTAGTTTTTACAAATAAAATGCAAATCAGTTGAACAGAAATCGGCCGAAGTAACCCATGCATGAACACGGCGTCAACGGGTAACTCAGTTCGACCAATGAAAATGACGCATTGCTATTTGTTACCAGAAAAAAAATCATGACCACCGTCCGTATGAAAAAATTATTAGGATAAGTATTATGTACAAGAATACTTCGTAGAAACTAGTTCTTTAACAGTGAAAAAATCATCTGTTCTATTTACATGCGGTTAAGATGCCTGCGCATATGTATACATTTGTGGCATGCCTTGACAAATCGGTAAATCAGTTCTAGGCACCTGGTGCACTTATTGTCTTCAAATTAGGTACATTTTGAAAATTACTGTTTTTTGTCAGCATTTTTTCACAATCTTTTATGTTTTACAAAAGAATAATTTAAATTAATATATATATTTTTAAATTAGAGATGACATGAATAATTTCGTTTATATTTGCACATCGATCAAAAATACCCTGTGGACGCGGTAGAAGTTACCCAACACACATATCTTGTAAATCGAAGTCGAACACATTTATTTTATATCATGGCCAATAATACATATAATACAATGTAATCTGAACAATAAAAGGTATTCACCACCAGCCCTCTTAAGTGACAATGCACTTTGAAAAACATTCTGATTTTTGTGACTTCTTGTATATCTAGGAAAATACTATTTTTAAAATCTGATCTTGTTTGTTCGTTGTATTTTGGGGTTTGTATGTGTGTGTGTGTGTTTTTTTTTTAAAAAGTGAAATATCATAGTGTACATAACTAATCAATACCACTATTTTGTGCCTGGTTTTACTCTTAAAATTCACGAAAACCCAGGAGGTTCCGGGGGCTTCGCCCCCTGGGCCCCCACCAGGGCTTTGCCCTGGACCCACTGGGGGCCTTAAGGCGGCCCCCAGACCCCTTGCCTGAACAAAGTTATCCACGCCCCCCCCCTAATCACAAATCCTGTATCCGCCCATGATTCCCCACCCCACCCAAAACCCCCACTCCCCACGAAATAGGATTTTTTTGG